GCCACGATCCCCCTGCCGCATACTATTCGGATGACATACATGCTGCTAGATGACTGGTAGCTTGAAAGTGCCTCATCTTCTGTCCTTTGGAGATGTGTTCAACTATTCCCCTGGTTTATATAACCTCAAAGCAATTTGCTTTCATGGTAGAACATGCTTATTCATTCTATTTTAACTGTGCATTGAGCTATAAATACTGTCTCCTTGCAGATAAAAATCTATTGAATTTTTTTTTTTTTTTGCTACCCTTGAAAGATTTTCTCCTGACCCCAGCTCCTGAAGGAGACTTTCCCAGCCTTAGCAGTGAAGTTACCAGATTGACTTTCTCCTGCCAGGCAGCCATGAGTGGTGTCAATCCCAGGTCGCCTGCTACTTCCCTGCAGCCACCTCCTCTTTGTTCCTGCTTGGGCTGTGGCAAAGATGAAATGAGCACTCAGTGATGCACAGCTGAGATCACTGAAGTGTCAAGAAAACTGATTAAACCAATGATTTCCTCTTTCTCTGGCCACCTATAGGATAGCATCTCCAGCACTGCCTCCAAACCACCTTCCCTGCAGTATGTTCACTTCAAAGAGCAGCAGCCTGGGCTGTTGTCCAGCCAAATGTTCAGCTGTTTAGTACCTCCTTTTTCTGCTGCTCATTCTAGCGTTTTCCTGCTTTCACATGAGTAACTCTTGCCCTATGCAATGGAGCCCTTACCAGACATCCTCATCATCCAGAAACAGCCCATAGCACAGCACGAGCAGGTGAGGTGGGAAGTGGAGCTATGTCCTCAGAGCTGATGCTGCTGAGACCAGCATCTGGGCCAGCCTGCAGTACAGCAGTGAAGTGGCTGCTATTTGGGCAGCTGATTTTCTGTGGTGCAGATAACGTTGCTGTAGGTTTGAATGCTGATGCTCCTCTGGGGAAGTGTTGTGATGGCAGGTGCCTGGGCTACTGCAGAAGTGGGAGAGACTTTGAAATCATTGAGAGCTAATAATGTTCTCAAATTTTAAGAGTGTGGGGTTTTTTTAAACAATGATTGTAATCTACTGTTTTGGTTGTACATGTTACTGGTCATCCCCCATAAAAATGTGCTGGGAGCTCTCTGTACCACTTACTTGTGGCCCTTTAGCAAAGATCGTAGGAGAATTCTGAGGCTGCTCTCTTGGATCATGGAGAAGTGTTATGTTCCTTCATTGATAAAAACTATCCATAGGAGAGAGCATTATGTGAGTACCATATACATAAAATAATTCATGTTGGAAGACCTCTCTAGAGGTCTCTAGCCAACTCCTGCTCAAAGCAGGGCCAAAGTCAAAGTCAGCTCAGGGTGCTCAAGACCTTCCTTGTTCAGCTGGGTTTTCAGTATCAAGGAAGGACATGCATGACCTCTCTGATTCCTGTGCCACTGCTTGATCACTCTTATGGTGAAGAATAATTTCTCATATTCAGTCAGCATTTAATCCTTTTGCTATGCAGTTCTGAGAAGACTCTGGTTCTGTCTTCTCTATAACCCTACCAGGGAGCTGCAGATAGCAGTGTGATCCCCCATAGCCATCTCTTCTCCAGAGTGAAGAAGCCCAGCTCCTTCAGCTTACCCTGAACGCCCTGTGCGCCAGCCCCTGACCAGCCTGGTGGCCTCTGCTGGACTCGTTCCCATGTGTCAACATTTGTCCTTGCAGTGGGGCCAAGTACATTTAATTCATTGCATAAATAACATGAAACTATGTTAGCCTTCACCTGCAGGGTACAAAGTTCTGCGTGTGGTCTTATTAGTTCAGGAAAACATTCACTGGCATTACTTGAATCAAGCTCTGTTTAACGAGTTCATAGATGCACAAATATGTTTTCATATCCATATGTTTTAATTGTATCAGTGACTTTGTTTGCTTTATTGCTTAGTTCAAACGGTGCCTTTGGGCACTAAGTGGGAGGTAGATCTTCCATTTGTTCTGTATCGGTTTCTCTGGGCATGTGGCTCGGTACAAATAGTTATTGGCCACACTGCAGCCAAGAGAAAGACAAAGATGGAAACTGCAGTCTGAATTGTATTTAGCAGGCATTTTGGAGTGATTAGAGGCAATCTCATGAAAAAGCTACAATTAATTGTTGTTATTTCCCACTTTTACAACAGCTATTTGTTAATTAAATAATGTGACAAAACCCAGGAATGTTTGGAAGAGTGTATTAAATAATTTGTCATTCATTTATCAGTGTATTACTTGCACTGAGAAGTTGCATATCCGCTAAGAAAATTTCCCAACATCAGTTTTCATTCTTCCAGAAAATATGAAATCGATACTGGCAAAAACTGTAATGGGAAAAGTAAACCAAGAAATTCCTCAGGTAAGTGGGAGAGGGTGTCATATAATGGCCAAATCCTGCGCTGGTGTCAGCCTGCAGACCCTCTGGTGCTCAGGGCCATAACATGTGGTACCCCAAGATGTGGCACTGCCTTTGCTTACATGCAGATCTCTGCCCTCGTGCTGGCTTCTGCACGCAGGAGGATTTTCCTTTAGCCAGATGGTCATTAGCCATATGCTGCATCTGACTGAGGATTAGAAGACCGCAATGAAGTGGATTACAGCATGAGATCAGTGGCAGGATTGCAGACCAAATCCTCTTTCTAACTGTTCTTCCAGGAGCAGCTAAGAACTGAGCAACCTGTCCTACAGCATGAGCTTAGCCAGCTGTGGGATCTTTCTGCATCGTTGTTGGAGGCAGGATAATCTGGAGCTGTAACCCCGGGTGGGGAGGCTGTGGATGTTGGCTGGCTGGAGGCTGTGCGTGAGTCTGAAACCTGGTGATTTCTGGGAGTCGTTTTTATGGCTTGCCTGGGGAGGGTACCTGAGCAGCTCGGGGAGGCTGGTGTTCCCCAGTCAGCACTAAACTGTCGCAGACCTGCGTCTCCCTACCGCGTCTGCAGGTGAGAGGGTGAAGGAATGGGTCTGCTGAACGTCAGATGGGTTGCTTGAGGCTGGTAAGTGCCTGACCTAGTGCTGAACCTGGTGGCTGCAGTGGAAAATTTTTCTCTGGTGTATACAGGTGACACAGGCTAGCCGTTGGCAGGAAGGTGCTCTCCACCCATCAGGAGAGAGGTTGATCCTGCCTAGGACAGCACAGTCCGGGGTGGGGAGCAGCATGTGAGCACAGGGCAGGAGGCAAGCTGTCAAAAGCTTCCAGGGCAGGGCAGGGAAGGCTGGCGAGGATGACTTGCAGAGGTCTCGCTGCCTGGCTGGAGAAGGCAGTGGCAAAATTCATATTTGACCCAGAAAGATGCACCTCCCTCCAGCTGTGCAGAGACTGTACGTGTTAACTGATGAAGGCAACAAGCGTGGCGTGTGGCAGCAGCCTCAGCGTGCTCCTGTACGCGCTCAAGGAAAAGTACTTGGCTTCCAGAGATGCCATCCACAAGGCACATTAGAGCAATACATCTTGAAGATGTGCCAGATCTCTCTAAAATATTCATGCATGCTCTCTGTAATTTATAGAAACAAACCCAGCAGCATAATTATTTTAATGCTTCTCCCTGTGAAGAAATCCATCCTTTTTAGGTAAAAATGTAACCTATATATCCATACAGCCATGCTGCGGCCTTCGTAATGTGCCAGTGCCCAGGATAGGTGATGCCATGCGCTATACAATTTATACATTTAAGGATCAAAGTATACAGTTTAGACCACTGTGATGTATCACACACCAACACAATTTCTTGGGCTAACTTTCAATGATTTCAGCTGAATTTCATTTGATTAATGGTTGGTGCCTTGTTTGTTCAAGGGAGCACCTGTAAAGCATCTTTTGCCCTGCAGCTCCCACAGTGCTGAAGCCCATCTTAAGCACAATGCTCAGCTCCCACGACCAGAAAAACCCAGGTACACTTGCCATTTTGGACCTGTGAAAGGGATCATAGTGAGAAACTTAGGTTAAAGGCAGAACCTGCTCCTGCAAAATTACACCTACTAAAACAGCAGAGGTCCAGACCTCCTCCTAGGAAGGAGCAATTTGGAGATGGCACGAAGGCTGGAGGTGTGAGACAGACAGGAAAATTGGGACAGGCTCTATGTTTTAAGTGTCATTTTCTAAAATATCTGTAGGGAGAAAGGACCTACTGTACTTTCAAGCACAGTTGATGCTATGTAAATCAGTTCCCAAACTTTCAGTGTCTTTTGTTCTTAAGATGGCTTGGCGGAACACTCTGAATTGGTCAGCGCATTTAACTGTGGCTAGGTCTGCAAATAAGTGCTCCCTGCTGGTAAAGTTCAAGTGACATTTTAGTGGCATTTGACAGAATATAACCTGCTTTCAAGTCTTCTGAACTCTTCTATACCCAGGCAGTGAAACTGTCAAGAAGCCCGTTCTTTTATCCAACCAATGCTAAATACCATTAGCCTCACAGATTAGGCACAGTCCTGCCAGACTCGCCTGACAAAGCTCAAGCTTAACCAGTTCTGCGGATGACAAAGCCACACCTGACTGGTGTTCATACCTAGTGGTGAATATCTGGGAATGCAGGGGGAAAAAAACCCACGGAAAACCAGAAGGGAAAGCAGAGATGTTAGCCTGGTCTGCGGACAGGGTAGTACTGCGTGCCCTGCCTAGGCTGCTCCCTGATGGGAGATGCTGCTCTGCAGAGATGAACGAAGGAGCTGCTGTTTACCCCCCTCGATATTTTGCACTCCTTACATTTCTGCTAGAATCCTAAAGAGGTTGTTTTTGTCTAAAAGGCCGTTTGTTTGGTTTTGACCACTGAGAACATGTGATCCTCGTCTCAAGCTATTAACCAGATGTCCAGCCAAAATCAATTGCCTAGCAGATGCAGATCGTTACCTTAAAGTCAAGACCTCAATAAATATTACCAGCCTCATTGTACTGGTGACAGATTCTGCTGGTTGCTTTATGTTACAGTTGAACAGTTTAGACATTGCATTTGTATATATTTGCAGTCAGCCTTGGAGAGGCCATCTCACGAGCAGAGCAGGAGCAGGCAGCCTGCAGACTCAAGAAATCCTTCCACCATGACCATGGCGGGTGTTTTTGTGCTCCTCTCCTTCACGCTTTGCTGCTTCCCAGGTGAGTAACTCTCAAGGTGCTGCAGAGGCTTCATGTGAGAGTCCCGACCGTCTTTAAAAGGATGAGAAAGTGGCTTCAAAGAGAGAAAATCTTCTCCTACAGGGAGCTAGGCTGCCTTGGTACCTTGGCATCGCGTAGGATGTAGGAGCAGATTTCAGGATCGCTCTTGTAGCTGATTGTCTCATAAACACAAATAACTGCAACCAGAGTTCTGTGCTGGTAACTAATGCTGTTACACTTTTTACGCTGTTGTGTTCACACCGTTACACTGCTTACACTTGTTGTACAATTACAGCAAATGGATAAATACTTGAAACAAGGCCGTAATGAGGTGGTCGGACCTCCAGTAACCAGTCGCAGAAATACTGTAACAGCATAAGCAAGTTCTTTGCAGGAGTCTGGCAACTTTCCTGCAATACTTTTGCTGTTAATAGGGAAACAAGAGATGAAACCAAGCCAGAGTCTGATGTTCTCACTGCACATTTACATCTGATGAAATGACAAGGTCAAAGAAACTTTTTTTTCCACACTCAGCTGCTTTAAAATCCATATGTCTGACAACGATGCCATATGTATTTGCTTATCCTGTAGGTGACTATTTGCATTTGCATGTACCTGTATTGACTTGGGTTTCTTTTCAGATATGTAACAGCAGCTCTTTAGGGTCAAAACGGATATGTACAAAGATAAGGAAGGAAAAGCTGTTCTATTTTCAATTATATAAGTCTACCTATCTCAAAATAAATAAGTACAAAGCTATTCAAAAGTATGTTTTCATCACAGCCAGAAATAAGCAATGCTATTATACTTATCAACATAGGGAAAAAAAAAAAGCCATACATAGTTTATTTAGTTTAGGAAACCAGTCACCGGAAACCATTCAGTTTGGTCTTGTGTATAGAAATATTATGTCCAGATTTCCAGCTTTAACTGAAGTCTTATCATGTTGGCTTTGTTTCACACTTCCTGCCTCTTTCTTTTCCAGATGCTGCCTTTGGGGTTGAGGTGAGTGGAAGATTTTTTTCTGTCACTTTTCTCAGGTATGCGGCCTGGTAAAGACATGACCAAAGGCATGGGAAAAACCTCAGGCCTGCACATGGTTTGCTGTTTTTCAGCTAGTGTGAAATTAGTGTCGTTGTAATCAGATCCCACTGTTCTTGGCTCTACATCTCTGCTGTATGTTAATAAGGTAGTGCTAGTAATGATATGAAGTTTTTGGATGAATACATTTTTTGCCAACTTTAAACTGGTCTAAGCTTTAAGCTGGTCATATATGACGGGCTCTAAACTGACAGTGCTGTGGCAGTGAAAAAGCCACTGCATGTTGTATCTGGTCACTGTCTCATGCAAAATGAGGGTTGTGAATGTGAAATATCTTCTCCACCCCATCGCTGTACGTTCTTTGGCAGGTTGACTGCAGTACGTATTCCAACGTTACAAATGAGGAAAGCAGGGAGGTATTGGTCTGCACCAAGATCCTCAGCCCCATCTGTGGTACCGATGGAGTCACCTACAGCAATGAGTGCCTGCTCTGTGCCTACAACATGTGCGTACAACATTGGAGATCTTGGGCAGCAATGCTTGGGACTCCTGGCAGCACCACTTTTCAACACAGCAATCTGACATATGTCACTTGTGTCAGTTCCTTCAAAATGAGCTTGGGTTTCACCACATGGCACTCTGTTGCCTAGACATCACTTTAGTCACTGTGCCTCTCTTTTTCTGGTGTAATTTATTCAGGTTTTTCTTCTCCAGCTCAAGGATGAGCCAGATGACAGCCCCTAGGGCACGTCTCATCACAGCAAAACAGAACAAAAGGATGGAGAGACGCTCTGCTCTGAACTGCCAAAAATGGTCCTAAAGCTCTCAGGGTCTTTACATCCCTGCCAGCCACTTAGTGCTAGCTCGTCAGGGAGGATGGCACTACCTTCTCAAATATATATATATAAGCATGCCTGATAAAGAGTCAGCTTTCCCTTGTGTTAGTTACATATTTCCAGAACGTGGGATGTAGCAAAACCTCTTTGCTGAACTTCCTAACATTTGTCTTTCCCTTTCCAGGGAATATGGAACCAACATCAGCAAAGACCACGATGGAGAATGCAAAGAAGTTGTCCCTGTAAGTGAGACCAAGGGCAAAACAAGGGGCATGTCCTGCTTCTGAGTGGCCAAAGCTGCTTATTGAGTCCCCCAAGAAGTAATTCAAACACTAAATAAGAGGACATATGAGATGTCAGAATCTTGCATTGGTCAACTTCAAGTGAACTGTCATCATAGCGACACACAAAAAAGCATTTTTCCTGCTGTGGTGGTATCCTAGGTGGCCAAACAGACCCACTCACCAGATCTACTTGCTTCCTATAAATAAAGCCTTCACCAGGGCTTTGTTGTGTGTTCTCTCCACAGGTGGACTGCAGCAGATATCCCAACACAACGAATGAGGAAGGCAAAGCGGTGTTGCTCTGCAACAAAGACCTCAACCCCCTCTGCGGTGACGATGGGGTGACCTATGACAATGAGTGCCTGCTCTGTGCCCGTAACCTGTGAGTATTCCCTGTGCAGAGCTCTCCTGTGAGGGACACCAAGTACTTAGCACTCCTGGCACCTGCTTTTCTGAATATCAAGACTTCTACCAAGGCTTTTTCTGTAAGGTGCTTGGACTTTGACCCTCTTCTTTCCCCGGTAACTAGATCCTGTGTTCCTTCGTGATTAGAAGGAAAACTGTGCCTTTGATCTAGAGAGAGAAGTAGAGGGCTGGGTGGGGATCTAACACAGGACAGAATGCTTCTCTTAACTAAATTAAGAGGGTCAATGTGGCAGATAGCAGCAGCAGACAGCAACCAGCCTAAGGTGCATCTACATTGTCGCACAGTCTAGCTCCTAGTTCACCACAACACCCTGGACCCTCCCTTATCCTTTGCATCATGCTATAAAACAGCATTCCAGCAGGCTGTGGCACCACCTGGGCTGGTATCTAGATCCATGCAGATGCAGCCTAAGCTGGACTTCTCCTGTATCCTGTATGTGGTACCTGAGGCTGACTGGATATGCAGACCAATTCTCCTCCCAGAGAGCCTGGAACCAGTGTTGGCAAGAAGTATGATGGTGAATGTAAGAAGGAAATTGTTACAGTAAGTGAACTGCATGATGAGGGATGGGGTTTCAGTCCCACTGATGCCAGGGGAAGCACTGCCAGTGTCTGCAGCAGCCCCCAGACCAGCAGCATCCTACAGGAGTGTAACTGATGCTGTGCTTCAGCAGAGGGAAGATTTTGCTTTCTCCACATGTAATTATCCTTGCTAACGTCAGAAAAGGAAGAGGGTGACTGCACAGGAAGGGATCTTCTACAAGAGCAGTAGCAGAAATAATCCATCAGGGCAGAACTGAGAATAAGAACAGAGAATGGCTTTTGGAGTCAGACCGATGATCCATCATGCCCATGATGGCTTGATGCAGAGCAGGGGTCATAAGGATGGTGTAGGAGAGAGTAAGAGTAGAGTATGTATGGGACTTCTACTCTTCCAACCTCTAGCTATTTTCAGGTGATGGACCTCAGCTAGGTGCGATTTCTGTGAGGTCAGTAAGCCTCGATGGATTTCTCCTCCATGAAATTCCTCAGCCTCTTCCTGAACCCATATACGTTTTTTGCACTGTGACACCTCTCAGCAAGTGTAGCACAAAGAAACAAAATCCCACTCTCACAGTGCATAGCAAAGTGCTGATCTTCCTGTTTTAAGACTACGGGAGAGATACTGGACCCATATACAGACGTCAGCACCTACACTTCTCCAGACACCAGTGTTTTTCCATTTAATTTCCTGGCCAGGATGGGAACACAATGCAATGTGATCACAAGCATAGCACGCTCACCAAGTGAACTGCTGCTGCTTAGAAATGCTGTGGTCAGGTTATGATATACATCTCTTCAACCAGGAAATTATGATCTATTTTTATATTATTAAATTCTTCTGGCATAGGAGAAACTGACACCTCAGTTTATGTCAGATTGTGCAAGGAAATTAATTACCGTTAGTTAGATCGTTATCATTAGCACTGCAGTTGTAGCTAGGGGTTCAAGCCCTTCTGCTATTGACTCCTTCATAGACTTCACATTAAACTTTTTTTTTTTTTGGCAGGTTGATTGCAGTGACTACCCTAAACCTGTCTGCTCGCCTGAGAACATGCCTGTCTGTGGCTCTGACAGCAAAACATACAGCAATAAGTGTAACTTCTGCAATGCAGTCGCGTACGTACAGACATGGATCACATTTGTGTTATTGGTTGCCTCCTATAGGCACAAGTTTGCACAGTTGCCACTTTCTTGTTTGCTGACCAGCATTGATCAGGGATTTGGGGCAGGAGGGAATACCAGCCATCGTGCCAACCATTCTTCTTTTTCATAAGAGCATACAAAGAGCTATGTCTGGTTTGTTAGTGTGAATGGTTTGAAGACCATTAAACTTAATTCAGTTTTTCTTGTGTGTTGCAAAGAAAATGAAATTTGAAGTTTCATTATAGTTCCCCAAAACATTTTTAGTCTTAAGAATGGGTTAAATCATTTAACTCATCTCTTAATAACCAAATAGCTAATGGGACTCTGAGTCTGCATGTTCTTTGGCTCTGGGACAGGATCCTATCTGATGCCTTCTCTAGGAGCCAAGCAAAAGGACTGATTATAGCAGGCAGGACTCTATGTCTAATCCATTTTTTCCTGTCCTCGCTTTCAGGGACAGCAATGGGACTCTCACTTTAAGCCATTTCGGAAAATGCTGAGTATCGGTGCTGAGATAGTTCACCACAGGATCTCCACTGGCAAATCCCAGCTAAAGATCTCACCTCAGTTCATCTCGCCCCCTGGGGAACTCGGCTCACTCCTGATTTTCTTTCTCAATAAACTAAATCAGCAACATTTCTTTGTCTTGTTTCATGTGTTGTCTCATGAAACATTTTCTTTTGATTTATTGAACGATGATGCCAGGCTGAATAGGTTACGTGCTCATAGCTCTAGGATGTAATAACAACAACGTCTTTTTCCCCTCCCTCTCATAAAAGACAGAAAATTAAATACAGAGCTGTGTGACTTTGCACATAAATGATCGTCAGCCTACTTTAGTGTTCAGACCCTTTTAGACATTTGACATTGTAAAGGGCTGAAACACCGCTCTGAAGCGATGCTGCTAGCTGATCTCTCCCAAGGTATTTCTGGTGCATTTTCCCTGTGCAGGCATCATCAGCAAAATCCATTCAGCCTGTGGTAGTGCCTGCACCAAGAGCTGATCCTGGCCTCCTCCTGAGCACAGCCCTCACCTGAAGCTTAGCCCTTTGCAAGGGCAAAGCCCATGTTTTTCAGACACGTGAGTGGGGCCTGCCTATTTGTCTAGGTCCTCCAAATGACTTAGTTTTAGATTTTTCTCATCTTGAAATTGTGCTTTAATAACCTCCCAGTGTTTTAAGATAAATGCCTTCCTAGGGATGATTCCTACTCCTGCCTACTTGTCTTCTCTCTTAGTCTTTAATAGCATAATACTCTTTGCACGCCTAAGGAGTATTTCAGCAGTGTTTCACAATCCAAGGACAAAGTATCCTGGTTTTTGAGAGTGTGACCTGTACCTGTCACTGGCGTATTGTCCATGAAATTTATTTTGCTTTTGTCCTCTGTTGGAGTATTGAATTGGTGGGCTTTGATCCACACAAGTGAAACATAAATAAACTGGGCATATCCCTTCGAAAAAGTAATACCTCCCATATGCATTTCTTCTAGGAGCCAAAGGAATGGCAGTGCTTGTTTTCCTTGATGGAATATGGTTATCCAAAAAAGCGATGCTTTGGTGGTAAAACAAAGGATTTATATTGAGATGGGCAGATGGATGAAGCAGCAATTTCCAGAGTGGGTTCAACTTTTCTAGGATCCAGGCTAGGGTGTCACATAATTCTGTCATCGTCAGACTATCAGCCCATTACTGCAAAGCTAACCCACAATGCTAATGGCTTTTAGGGGAAATAACAATTGCAAAGTCTTTGCATACGCCCATAAAAGTTGCTCCATCTCTTGTTCAGTCCAAGGAGCCCCTTCAGTGTCTGGGACACCCTCTTGCTTGCCTTCCCAGTTTGCTGCTTTCATGGTTGAACTATAACTTAATGATACTTTACTGAGATGAAGCACGAAAATAAAAGTTGAGACTTTCTGCTCTGGTAGCAGTTCACTCAGTGTTTTGCTCATGAAAAAGCACTGCACATAAATAGGCACTGATCGGTGCACACCAAGAAAACCTGGCAGCAGTTGCTGCTTAGGTTTGTGCAGTTGCTGCTTAGGTTTGTACAGTTGCTCTTCTGCCCGCAGGAATTTTCAATGGTCCTTCAGAAGAAACCTGTCGTGTATTTTCTTGAAATAATGACACAGAAGGTGTATCTAACATATTTAAAATTCTTGTCACTCCTGTTGATGAAGAAGCATTCTTCTTGGCTGCCGTGGTTTAACCCCAGCCAGCAGCTGAGCCCCACACAGCCGGTCTCTCACTCCCCTCCCCAGTGGGATGGGGGAGAGAATCAGAAGAGTAAAAGTGAGAAAACTTGTGGGTTGAGATAAAGGCAGTTTGATGGGGAAAGCAAACCAAGGAATTCATTCCCTCCTTCCCATCGGGAGGCAGGGGTTCAGCCATCTCCAGGAAAGCAGGGCTCCATTGGGTGTCACTTGGGAAGACAAATGCCATCACCCCGAATGTCGTCCCCCCCTGCTTTCTCCTTCTTCCTCCAGCTTTATAAGCTGAGCATGATGTTGTGTGGTCTGGAATATCTCTGATCAACTGCGGTCAGCCCCCTCCCAACTTCTTGTGCCCCCTCCAGTCTCCTCGCTGGTGGGGTGGGGTGAGGAGCAGAGAATGACTTGGCTCTGTGTAAGCCTTGGTCAGCAGGAATGAAAACATCCCTGTGTTACAACGCTGTTTTCAGCACACAAATCCAAACATAGCCCCATACGAGTGAATATGAAGAAAATTAACTCTACCCCAGGCAAAACCAGCACACTGGCTTACAGCATGGCTCACCGCTGCTGAGATTGCTACCCTGACAAAAGACCAGGAATGTTCCTTCAAAATAAGGGTGGATAAGCCAAATATGAATGTGCACAAACACACACAGGTGCGCACGCGCGCACACGCATATATAAGCACGGTTACCACCTGAGGGCAGAATTAAGGCTACGCTTACTGAGCAAAACACAGCCTCCGCTGCACACAGACGCTTCAGCCACCATGAAGATGGCAGGCGTGCTGCTGCTCTTTGCTCTAGCCCTTTGCTCCGTCCCAGGTGAGTAGCTTTACTGCCTCCTGCTCTGCCTTTGAGTAAGTGCTGGCTGGCTGTAAAACCATAAAAACATCCTCAGACTGGAAAGAGCTTCATTCTACAAGGACTTATTTACTCCTAGAAAGATAGTGTTGAAAAGACTTGACATCAAAGACTATCACTTATGGGGTAATATTTTAGCAACAGAACTGAGTGGGTAAGAACAACTGTGGGAACAGCTCTACTCTCAGCGCTAGTTTATGCATAATGAAAGAAGTGACATGTACGTGGTACAACCCGGAGACTCAGACATCCAGTATTTAACCTCTGAAATGTTGCAGAAACACAAAGTATTTTACTGAATGAAAGCAAACATTTCTTGCAGTCATCCTGAACTGAGATGCCATTCGGGAGTCTGAACAGTTGTAGAAGCTTTATAAAAGTTACATCTCACTAAATACTCCTCTTCTTTAAGAACTATTGTGGCAAGGCATATAAGACGCTGCCTCTGTGTGCTTGCCAGCTTTATGACCTTGTTTGCCCCAATAACTTGCTTAGCTTTGAGTACGTGTCCTGCTCCATCCTTTGAACCGTGGAAAATGCCTTTCTCTTCTTTCATTTTGTATACCCTTTTCTGTCTTGGCTGTAACCCTCATTAAAATATTATACTACAGAACCAACATTGTAAACATAAAACATGGCACAAAATTTTGCCTGAAATTCCTTTTGTGTAAGAAGTAATTTGCTAGCAAGCAGTGAACTGAAAGTCGCATATTCAGGGCATGCATTCACAGATTTTAACTCTAACAGAACTCAGGAACTGCATTTGTATCATCTTTCCTTCTTCTTTTCTTTTTTTCCAGATACTGATGCACAGCAGGTAAGGGACAGATCTTTCTATTTTCCATCATTTCTTTCCTTAAAGCAGTTTCTGTATAAAGCCTTACTAATCACATTGTGATTGAGCATTTGAAAATCCCGAGTCACCCAGCTGTCTGAACAATATTTGCCACAGATATTATTGGGTGAAATTGCCATTTTCATCTGATGATAGTTTCAACAAGTAGTGCAGCATTCAGTGTGTGTCCAAGTAGTTGCCAAAGTTACTGCAGCAGCATTTGCGATGGTTACAGAGGCTCCATATTGCTGGAGGCAATGCACCACTGTACTCCTGCCCTTGGCTTTTTCTCAGCATCTGCTTTTGGCCAGTACTGGGGGGAGCCCAGGGTGTGTGTGTGGGGTCTCCTAATGTCACCTTTCTTATGTATCTGTTGTTGAGAGCTGTTTTGTGAACATGGGTTGCCTCTATCTACAGGACTACTGCAGTGACCACGTGGTACCCAGCGATGTCTGTACTCTAGAGTACATCCCACACTGCGGGTCCGATGGCGTAACATATGGCAATAAATGCTTATTCTGCAATGCATTCCTGTATGTATGAAAATAAATCTCTTCACTAATTAAATGGCAAGCTAACTTAGCTTCAACTAACTGATCAGTCTTGGAGACTGGTTGGAGAAGTAAAGTTCTATTATTTGGTGTTTACCTGTTCTCTTACTAGCAAGGGTTAGCTTTTTATTGGGAGAATTTGCCAGGAATTCCTTTCTTTCAGGTATAAAGCAGTAACACTTAGTAGAGGTCTTCATTTCCCTCTTAAGTAATTTGCTGAAGAGCTTTCTTCTAGCAAACAGTCTATTTCCTGCAGACTATTTGTTCTTCCTTTAAATTAAGTCTTTATCTTGTCTTTGAATGTTAGCAATAAAAGGAAATAGCTGGAATAGTGTTCAGAATTTTCTGGTTTGTTTAAGTTCCTCTATGATATATCCTTTACCAGAGGGAGAGACAAAGAGTAAAACCCCAGATCTTCCATCTCTGAGGTATGGATTTCTTTCTTCGCAGGAGAAGCGGTCGGACTCTTCTCTTGAGATATCTTCATGAATGTTAACTTCTCGACAGCCTTCAGCTGAGAAAGAGGAATCCTCCCTGGCAATGTTCCCCATGGCAGATGCTCCCCTAAAGCCTTGTCCTGAACCTTGAAAGCCCCTGATGAATCTTGAAATCTCTGCTTAATAAAAAAAGCCATCAGCATTTACATCTTGCTTTAATAATATGTCTCATTCTGTTTTTACCTAAAATGTTGCATGATTATATCACTGCAGTAATACTGGGGTGTGGGCATTAATGGGCATATTACAGGGAGAGGAATATATTGTTCTGATCTACAAAGAAATCAACCCCAACTGCAAAGGCAATGGGTAGATCTTGAGGGCACCTGCCTTCATCCAGCTTTCCAGAAGAAAACCAGGGCTGGAAATGCATCCTGGTGCAATGCTCCAATCGATTTATTCCGCTAATGGCATCTCGGACAGACACTCTGCTTGGGTGAGAGGAACTCTCTGCCTCCCTAACTACTGCTGTCAAATACCTGCTGTCTCACACCTGCATTATGGTAGGGTGGGCTGTGGCAGCACGAAGAGGCCTCAAGCAAACCTGAACATAATTAGGGGCAGTCCCAAGAGTGTTGCAGTTGGGGGGAGTGGGGGGAGTTGTGGCTGGGGTGCAAAAGCTGTGGAGGCACAGAGGGTCTTGCTGGCACCAGGAGCTGCTCATCCCCATTTCTATTTCCAGGGTTAGCCCCAAATTCTCCTGCCCACAAGAGAAGTGGTGAAGAAGGGCAGTTCCCAGCTGCATCTCTTCCCCTAGCAAGCAGGCTCGGAACCACACCTTTAGGGGAGAGAAGCCCTTTTGCAATCCACTCTGCCTCCCAAAGCAACAGGACAGGGGGTTTTTCTGGGCAGGCAGATACCTGGCTGCCCACGTTTGTGTTTGCAACGTTCATTGGTGCTGGGTATTGCAGAAAACCAGCGGGCAGCCGCTCCTAACAGACCTGATGCTTAGAGGACTGCTCGCAACCGCTAGTGCAGCCCGTTTCTGCACCTCGCCCACCACTTTGCTGCTGCTTGCAGGTAATTACATCGCCTGTCACTTGCAGGGGATCCTTTGAGATTCTTTGGCCTCTGGAAATCTTGGCCGATGAAAGGAAGGGCTCAGTCATAGCATTAATTTATTATTCATTAACAGTGAAGCGCTGGTGGTGTGGTGTGCTGTACAGGCAGCAGTCTCACAGTCAAATAGTTAATGATCTTAAGTGACAATGTGTCACTTGCCAGGGACTGGAGAGAGCAGCTCTCTGAAGGGAGACAATTTATTTCTGAAAGACACGACTCTCAGCGACCATTTAGTGCCAAGCCCCTTCCCAGGTCTGGAATGTCCCTCCTGTGAGGGGGAGGTCTGTGCGGGAAAGCGTTTCAGCACCAGATGCAATTTCTTAGGACCCAGACAAACCGAGGCTGTGGGAGGTAGTTCTGGGGGGTGCATGGCTCAGGGGCTTCATGCTCTGTCTTGTCCCCCTCCACTGTGCAGGGGAGTTGGGGGTAAGAGAATACCAGCTCCAGCACTTTTTTCTTTCCTGTGGAGCAGCAGAGAGGATGAGGATGGCTCCCAGGAGCCATGATGCCTTGGAGTTAAGCAGAGCTCCTGATCGTGCTCAAGATCCCAGTGGTCCTCAGAGCGCATCTTCCAGGGGCCATGTCCACCAAATGGGGAAAATCCAGCGGGCAATTGAGGGGAAACTGTGAGTAGACGTGGAGACAAATCCTCCGCCCTGACACAGAGTTATTCAGTATCACTTGGGAGTAACTGAGGGCAGAGCCAGACTCCAGCGGCACCCCAGACCCCAGGGGGGTGGCTCCTGAGGATGGAGAGGGAGACAGTCCTCTTTTATGGGCATCTCTTTAGAAATAACTTTTTTGTTGCTGCTCAATAAAATCCTGCCACAACAACACAAAATCCTCTCACCATTACTAATCTAACTCTCCCTCCAGGAAATTCAAGGCAGGAAACATTGCCTGCCTGCCGAGGTATTTTATGGTACAATTCTTTAAGCAGTACCTTGGCACTTTATGTCATTATCTGATGTTTGTGAATTTAGGAAATGCCATTCAATTACCCCACAACCTGATTAACACATTGCATGTAGTTATTTTGTTCTGCTCTATTTTATATCAATGCTTCTGTTTTAGTGTATTGTTCTACTTGTTGCTGGCCAAGATATACCTCAGGCCAGTCTAGACCTTTCTGTTAATGCAGTTTTTATTTGAGGCTTCATTCAGGATAAATGGTTTGTTACTACATTCTTTCTTGACGCAGAGAAAAATAAAAAGATGTTTTAGAAGAAAATTACTTGAAGATGCCGGTTTTGAGGGCTGGCTGTGTCAGAGCTATGGCAGCGAGGCAGAGCTGAGACTCGCTGAGGGATTGGGATGCGCAGGGCCAAATCCTCAGGCTTTTGCTGTCAGTATGCGGCTCCCAGACAGTCAAATTATTCCAGACACCCTTGCCTGTGATACCATCTATGCTTAAACGACTGGAGATATGCAGACAGCAATCAGATAGCTGAACTGCAAGGAGAAATATTACATGAGTGGGGCTTAGAGCAGGGGCTTTGCTTGCTGTAAATTGAAATCGTGTTCTCATAGAAGATCCAGTTCTGCCCCCGTGTGCAGAGGTCTGGGAACAGCAAGCTGTTCCGTGAGCTCTTGCAGTGTGCCACATCGCTGGTCAATGGCAAAGAAATGCATTTTGCATTTGTCTCTACAGCAGCAGAGGCTGGAGCACGGTGCCACTCCATGCACGGTGCCACTCCATTCTTGATGACGGTGCGGCGTGTGACAGCAAGGTGAGGGAGCAAGGACAATGATACCCGTGCTGGAATAACGACGCATGGTCTTGCATGCACACATCCACCTTTTTTATTTTCCATAAAAATTAAAAAGTATCACTTCTCTTTGTAGCCAGATGAAGCCTGTGGCAGGTTTTAAACTAAAGTAGGGAAATTAAATGAAGAATTTATTTGGTCGTGGTAGATTAGGGACTTGTTTGAGATAGGAATCTCGAGACTAGAGGAAAAGATTTCCAGGAAAATATCACTGTTAGGGGAAGAAATAATTCTGGGTTAGAAACTGGGTAGAATTTGCAGAGTTATTGGAAATTTGCCTAAATACAAGTGGATCCATCTACCTATCTACCAATGTTTAACCCACTCACGTGGCCATAACCTTCTTGAAAGTTTGCTCTCCAAGTACTTGAAAGAGCAGGAAGAGTTTAAATAAAACTTTTCTGTGGTTCTCATATCTGTAGAAAGATTAAAATAATCCTGTGGCCAAAGTCACTTTACTGAGCCCACCATCATGAGAGTCCCAATATCACAGAGGGGTTTTGGCAGGTGAGATCGTTTTGTCCTTCCCATTTGCAACACGTTTATGACGTTTCCCAACGCTCACTCTTCCAAATACATGGAGACAGATGTTTTTGACAGCTCCTAATGCCTATTTTCAACCCATCTGCTGCCCCACAATTACTTCTGTCCCATTCCCTCTGTTTCTTATTAATGGAGCTCCTTGTGCAATCCCATGTCACACCTAGCCCAGGAGCTCTTGCTGCCCTGCCCTTGACTGCTGCCAATTATCTCCCATCCTTTCTCGTAGACCCTGTAGCAAGACTCTTTCGTTGCTTCTCTCCTTCTCCCTGCTGCCTTGTGAAGCAGCAGGGATTACTGGAGGAAAAGAGCTGCTTTTGGAGCAGTCCTGCCTGGCTACCCTGACCCTCAGAAGCAGCGTGTGGATCAGAGGGGGATCTCCCCAATGGACCTAATTAATAAAAGGGCAGCTGTTTGGCAAACATGAGAACGATGCCGCTCCCTGGCAGATACCCCGCCATTCACAACAGCTCCTGAGCGACCAGCGTGATTTCAGCCTGGCAGGAGAGCAGAAGCAGCACATTTTCTGGTAACTGGGGATCGCAGATCTGGAGGTGGATATGGAGAAGCTAAGGTGGCAGGGCTGGAGAGGAGACAGACTACATTCCTGTAGCCTCACTAACCACTGCAGAGCCAGAAAGTGCCATCTCTGCCAGCAGCTGGTGCAAGTTCAGAGGAAGCCTTGTTTTCAGGCTTCGGCATTCTTGTCCCTGGAGAATAATCAATATTAATGCTTCTGTGATTGCTGCTTCCCTTCCAAATGTGCTCACAATCAGTTCAAGGAATCTGAAAGTCAAGTCACTCAGGATGCTACGAACACAACAGAAACATCTTTCAGAGGAACCCGTCAACTTCTGATATTTGTGAATGAGATCCAAATAGCATTACTCATTTATTTTTCAGGAAAATTATTTCATTGATATGAACAGGCCAAATCCTGCAAGCTCTATTCTGTGACTACAGATCCCTTACGCTTTCAGCTACATTTTTATGATTTATCTGCCCATGCCAAGACTTGAACATCTCCCAGGATAATAAGAAAAACAATTCTAATTTTCTATTTAAAACTCAGGCTGCCTTTAAGCCACATGTATGAATCAAGCTTCTTCTAAAGCATAAATAGGTTCCATCCCTCACTTCTTCCTATGACTACCTTGAATCAAAAGTGTATTATTTTATGCAATACTCCTTATTTGTTTTTCCATACACTTGTGATAAGAGTTGAACCACTTAACAGAGCCTAGCACATTTTTCTTCACTTATCTTCCTTAAAAAGAGACTTTCAGCTGACACTTTAAATGTAATGCCATATAGTAGAGGGGGGAAGGAGGGAGCCTAAGGACTCACCTTCTGTTTGCAGCTGCTGCAAATTTTTCTTGAATGTCTTTGGTATTAAGAAGCCCATGTCACCTGCAGAGAACAGCACTTGCTCGCCATTAAGAGGAAACATTATCGCAGTCCAGATTTAAGGCTACTTATTCTCGTAATTTCTTAATCAGACTCGTGCCCATTGCCAACAGATGAGTAACTCTTGCTCCTACTGAGAAATGTCTTTATAAACTTGTGAAGTTTTAGGTAATGCTTTCCTGCTGTGATGACTGTTTCCTTCTTGTTGGTGAGAAACCCAGTGTACCGGCAAACCGCAGGAGAGTGCGGGGAGATTCACTGAGCCCTCAGCAACTTTGAAGTACACTGATGCCTGTCAAACGCCAGATCTGATGTCTGTAAAAGCTTGCAGTGCCCCATGCTGCTGTCCCCTGCTCCGGTGTGGCATGCAACTCTCCTGGAGCCTAAATACTCTCTAGTGTATGAAACATGGCATGCACAAGTTCAAACCCTTTCAACAAATGGGCTTTTTCTGCTTTACCAACTTCCATACGTAATTTCACAACATCTACTATTGAGACAGTGCTCTTGTTTGGAAAGTACAAATCACTCATTGTACAGCAGGGCGCCTTTGTTAACAAGCTGGGTGTAGCTCACATTTTTGTTTAATTCTTCTGGGCATCTCTCTAACAAACAAGTATTCTTTAGAGCTCAACTCAATAATCAATACAATTTTCTTAGTTTACAGAGCACATTATTACTTTATGGGATGACTTCACGAGGTCAGGGAGATGTATATATATACAGTGTGGAAGGAGAAGGCTGAGAACCATCTACTGAACTCAACAGAGACAGATTTGCCCGTAACAGGCTATACAGCTGTCTCCGCTATGAAGGCAACAAGAAGCGTTGCCTGTCTTGGGCTTGTGCTTCTCAGCTGCCTTTCTGGTAAGTTTTTTTTGTTACTGCCTATGCTAGTATCTGTAGTCCTCTTGAACCTTTGCCTCTCTTAAAGGAGAGTTCAGCCTTTTTGAGAAGTGATGATTTAGTAATACACGAGCACTCTTTAAATGAACTTCATCCTTGTGCAGATAAATACTATAGATCGGTAGGATACATTTGTCTGATTTAAACTTACGCAACTTAGTGGGGATAGTAGTGTTGCAAAAGGAGAAAAGTTTATGTCCTATTTCTTCTTTAGTGAGTCAAAATTTCTGGATTCACAAATAATTGATTTCTTAAATCTTAGCATATAACAACTTGTTTCCTTGGAGCAGATAAAACATTGGGAAAACAGTAACTTCTCAGTAATAAGAAAGTGTATTTGGTTACTCTGTTGGGAAATTGGTTCCAAAGGAATTTTAGTTAAGGATGTCGTACAATTTTTATCTTTTATAATCTCTATTTTTATTGTAGATATTGTTATTGCTCAACGATGGGTGAGTAGTAGATCTTTGTCATTTAGTCTTGATTTCTAAGTCTAGATGAATAATTCATACTCCCACTGTAACCCAGGGAAGGCTTGGGGGAGGGAAAAAAGAGAGTGAACAAGAAATGACAAGGGAAAAGTGCCCCTGAATATTATACCACCTCTTTTCTCCAAAATAACAAAGTATCTTTGTGAGAGAAACATAACTTACCGTGTTGATGATAAAAAAGACGGTGATTAATAATGCAGAGTGAGAGTCAGCACATCACAGAGTGCCAGCAGAAAATCCATACAACTATTGAATAACTGCCTAAATATCTTCCCTGTCTTGATTGCCTGTCTTGATTCCCCAAGGAATAATCACTTTTGCCTGCAATTCTTGCCGAAAGTACTGAAAGGCTTAATAGCGAAAAGGTGCTTTTGTATGCTGTAAGAAACACAGTATATTTTGTTCCCTCTCTTCTTCACCATGGAGGAACAATAGAGAAAAAAAATGACCAACAGTAGTCTCCCAACACAGCAAAAACATGATTAAGCCAAGCACACCCTTCTCTCCACGTGGAGATGTCACATGTCCTCTTTAACAGGCCTCCTGCAGCGGGTACCGGTTGTCTGAAAAAACACAGCTTGCCTGTCCCCGCAACTACGAACCCGTCTGCGGGACCAACAGCGTGACCTACCCCAATGAGTGCTCCCTCTGCAAAGAAATCTTGTGAGTATAAGGGTTTACGAATACCTACAATGCCGGTTCAAGCAGCAGACAGAAGCCTTTGGGGTTGTGACTAATCGTGGGGCGGACTAGATTTTTCATAAGTTTCTGTCTTCCCTAATGCCTGCGATCTTCCATGTCAAAGCTCCCGAATCTGATTAATTACTGGGGCTTTACGAGTGGAGATACTTAATGAGTGAGATGACTACATGGTATCAATAGATTAATCCTTCCTTTTCTTCTCTCCCTCTCCCTCTAGCCTTAACCGAGCCATTGACAAGAAGCATGATGGAAAATGTGTTAAGGTGAGGTCTGAGATCAGTTCCTTCTCCTGCTGCACTGAGCAGTGATGGGTGAAATGATGGCAGAGAGCTAGACAGAAACCTCGCCTGGGATTAAATCTGTATTAAACCCACACAATTTAAAACTGTCAGAAATGGAATGAAAACAAAGAATTTCAGATTTGCAGGAATTTCTTTTAGACTTTATTTGAACAGCTAAAATCAGTGAGTTTTAAAATGCTTTCTTGTGTGTACCACCAGGCTTAAGAATGGAAACTTTTGATTTCAATAATGCTTCAGCATTATCAAAACACTTCTCTTTAGACTCAGACTTAGAGGTTTGTTGAAACTAAGAAATTCCCAGAGGAAGTTTGGATTTTGACTAAATTGTAATTTTGTAACAGAAAAAACAATTCTATGAGAATGTTTATCATAAAGTTTGTTTATCAATACATGGAGCGACCATGAAGTGGAGAAGTATCTCTATTTTTAGTTTAGAGAGAGAAAGTAAAGAAACACTCTGGCTGTGCAATTTAATGTAATAGAACGACTTCCATTTCAGTACAGAGTAATTGCAGAAACACTGAGGTGAGCATAAACTCCATTTTCAAGTGGCATCGTCATTTTGCAGCAGAAGTTGCTGCTGCAGAAGGCATTTTAGGCGAAGGTCCTTCATGGTGATGTTCATGGTGAAAATGCCCAAGATGACAGGGATGATGCCCATTTCAGGACAGGAAGAATCCCAGATACTCCAGGGTCATGCTGTACCCACGTGCAGGATTTTGACTGTTCATGCTCCTCCAACTCCACCACGCTGGGCTGGAAGCTCCTCTCCCCTCGAAGCTCTGGGGAGAGGGGGAGGCGTCTCTTACGCTCCATTACGCAGGACTGATGGAAAGGGAAGGAGGGATTGAAATGTTTTTCTGTGACTGTTTTAGCTCGACTGTACCGGCTACTGGAGATTAAGCAGTGGTCGCGTGTTCCCCTGCACCATGGAGTACCTGCCCATCTGTGGCACCAATGGCGTTACCTACAGAAACAAGTGTGACTTCTGCAATGCTGTGGCGTAAGTGAAGGGGCTGGGTCATGGGAGGGGTTTCTGGATCAGTAGGTGCTTGTGTTGGTATTTAGAGCATAACAAGGTAGTTTGACTCGTGAAGCGGCTGCGCTGTGCTCATTTCATTCTCAACTCACTTTCTTCCCAAAGGAATGGACTGGACGTAAACATGCGCAGTGTTGGAGAATGCTTCCAGGTAAAGCACAGAGATCTGCACTCTTAACTGCTGTTGCAATACATTTTACAACACAAATTCAATGAATCATAACTAAATAATAGAAATGCCTGCACTGTCCTGCTGCATTTGGCCTGGAAATGCGATTTGAGGAAAATAGTTCAAGTATGCCAGAGTCAAAGGGTATTGAACCAAATCTGTGACTTGGATATGCAGTCCCACCTCTGACCTGGGGACACAGCAGCCAGTGGGTGCTGAGACCTTCATTTACCAGGAAAGGGGCTGAGCATGAGACGCTGCCTCATCCCTTCTGTGGGATGGGTTATATACTACCAGCACTATTAGTAGCGGGGATTCCTTGGGTGGGAGAGCTTTCTGCAGCATGGCTGCGACCATCCACTCTCTGTACGCTTGCCTCTGCTAAAAAAAACAGAGCAGAGCAGCCAGTGGGAGGGCCAGCCTGGAAATACGGTCGTTTCACTGTTTATAACAGCATTTATTAGGTTTTTTTCCCCATGACTTCTCCTCACTTCAGGCTGCTCCAGGAAAGCACTTTCTCTGCCTTTGAGTTTGCAGAGCTGCTAGAACACAGAGCCCTGCACCTGAAAAATGCTTTTATGCTTTGCTGTATCATAAACATTAAATAAACACAAAGGACTCATGTAAATATAGGGAACAAAAGCTTTAAAACCTGTTGTTGCTCCATTATTAGAAGATTGACTGCAGCGAACAGAAGGGTAGCAATCTCATCTGCACTGCCCAATATAACCCCCTTTGCGGCTCCGATGGCAAAACTTATGGAAACAAGTGCCAGTTCTGCAATGCAGTTTTGTAAGTATGGAGCTCACTGTGTAGCCATGAAACCAGAGGAGCTGGAGCACGCACGCATTGGCGGCGGCTGGCGTGGAAGCCTCGGAGCTCCCGTTAGCCCCTCAGTAAATCCATCCCTGCTCCACCTTCCTCTCCCAACACTCACTCCTCTGTCACCCCCCAGGCACTGAAGATCTTAAGCCCGAGTGAGTCTTCCCTTGCAATTAAATCCAGATCCCCGTTTGCAGGCTCATAGCACTGCTGACTCCCTCCCCACCAGAGTGATTTAAACCATGACCATAGGAGGTGTCCAAAATTATGGGCTTTGTCCCAAATCTCTTTCATGTGAGAAAGCGTGTAACCTGGGGAAGCAGGAAAGAGCTGAAACATTAAGTGCTTTGTAACTTGAAGAGCATGAAAGCATCGGCTTATTTGGGTAAAGTTAGACTATAAAACTGAGATCTGTATCCATAATTTTGGTCTCCCTCTTTCTCTTCAGCCGGAGCCAGGGAACTCTCTTCCTCAAA